TGTGGTTTTGATTTGTATTTCCCCTGATGATCAGTGATACTGAGCAGCTTTGCAAGGACCTGTGGGCCATTTGTATATCTTTTTTGGACAAACGTGTAGTCAGGCCCTTTACTCATTTTAAAATCAGATTGTATGTTCCTTTGTTACTGAGTTGTATGAGTTATATATATATATATACATATTTTTTTTTGAAGACTTTATTTTACATATAAGAACTGGAGCATAGGCAAGAGAAGATTCATCAAAGACAGAGTGGGGAGCAGAACAGGCAGATCTACTGAAATCCACTGCTGAGGGGAGCAGCGGGGAGACAGGAGAGGTCTACAGGGGGGCCTATGGGTCAGCTCCTTGGCTGGCTGGGGATCGCACTCAGGCTGCAGCAGTGATAGCATTGAGACTACACCCCTACACCACCAGGGAGGCCCTCTTTATATATTTTGGATATTGACTCCTCAGATATGCAATTGGTAGATATTTTCCACGACCCTGGAGGTTGCTTTTCATTGTATTGATCACTTCCTGTACAGGACAGGTGCTCTTCAGGTTAATGTACTCCCACTTTCTTATGCTTTTGGCGTCATACTCAACAACTCTTTAACAAGATCAATGTCAAGGAGATTCGCCCTGTGCCTTCCTCTAAATGCTCTAGAGCTTTAAGTCTTTAATTCATTTAGTGTTAAATTTTATAAGTGCTGTAAGATATGGGTTCCGTTTCACATGGACATGCAGTTTTCCTAACACCATTCATTGAAGAGACTATCTTTCCCCCATTGATTATTCTTGGTTCCTGTGTCCAAAATTTGGAGATTGGATGTGCATGATCCTATTTGGGGGTCTTGATTCTGTTCCATCAGTCTGTGAGTCTGTTTTTATGCCAGCACCATACCGTTTGATTATTATAGCTTTGTAGCATAGTCTGAAGTCAGGAACTGTGATGCCTCCAGGTTTGTTGTTCTTTCTCTAGATTGCTTTGACTGTTTTCTTTGTGTGTGTGTGTGTGTGTGTGTGTGTGTGTGTGTGTGTTCCATGTGGGTTTTAGGATTATTTTCTCTATTTCTGTAAAAAATGCCATTGGAATTACGATAGGGATTGCACTGAGTGTATGAGTGGCTTTAGGTAGCATGGACATTTTAACAATATTAATTATTCTTATCCATAAATGTGAGTTATCTTTCCATCCATTTGTTTGCAACTTCTTTCATCAATATCTTAGTTTTTAGGAGCAGATCTTTCACCTCTTTGGTTAAGTTCATTCCTAATTACTTTATTACTGTCGATGCTATTGTAAATGGGATTATCTACCTTATTTCTTTTTTCACATGTTCATCTTTTGTGTATACAATCACAGCAATTTTTGTATATCGATTTTGTATCCTGCAACTTTACAGAATTTCTGATTAGTTCTAACAGATTTTTTTGTGGAGTCTTTAGTGTTCTCTCTATACAAGTTCCTGTCATCTTCAAAAAGAAACAATTTTACTTTATCCTTTTTGATTTGGCTGCCTTTGGATCAAGGATTCTCACAGAAATGATTTCTTTTTTTTTTTTTTTTTTTGCTTCACTGGAGCTTAACATGGCATGGTACCATCACAAATCCTGTCTTCAGTTAAAACTTTGAAATTCTGGTCTCCAACAAGGTGGAATTACAGATATACACAAACTGTGTGAGTAAATAAATTAAAACTTGTTATTAGTTAAGTATTCTTAAAAGATAAGTGACAAGGGCCTCCCTGGTGGCGCAGGCAGTTGAGCGCAGCGCTGTGAAGCTGTCCACAGCCTCTATGCTACCGGTTTGATCCCTGCCAGCCACACAGCAACCCGCATGGCACAGCAGACCTCTCCATCTCCCCACTGCTCCCCTCAGCAGTGTATTTTGGTCGTTCTGCCTGTTCTGTTCCCTGCTCTGTCTCTGGTGAATCCTCTCACCCTCCTGCACATCTGGCCTGTACCCCGGTTCTTGTAGAAATAACAACAACAACAAAAAGATAAGTGACCATTAAAACAAAAACAATGACTATTTTATGCAGGGGTGGCAGCATTTGTAAAAGTAGAATGTATGACAACAATAGCAGAAAGACCAGGAGGGAAGAAATTAAAGTGCACTTTTGTAAAACTTCTACCATGTGTGAAGTTGTATGATATTGCCCCTATGTGGACTGTGGTAAGCTAAAGATAGAAACTAAAACAACCACTCAAATAAAAAAACAATGAAATATAGTTCATAAGCCAATGAAGGAACTAATGGGATTGTTTAAAACTTGCTCATTAATTGTTAAAAAACTAAAAAAGCAAAGGACTCATGGAAAACAAGATGATAGACTTAACTAGATGAACGATCATACTAAATGTAAATGGTCTAAACATTTCAATCAAAAGGCAACTCTCACTGGATTGGATTCTTTAAAAGCCAGTTCTAAGTCTAGGCTATCTTCAAGAAACACATCTCAAATATAATGACACAAAAATGTTAAAAGTGAGATGATGCGACGGTGGCCAGGAAACTGAACTACTTAGAGACCTGAATCTTCCTGGTGGTTACAATCAGCTGGAATAGGGTGAACAGAGTGAAACACTTGCCTCCATCACAGCATTGAAAGAAGCACAAGGAACTTCATCATTCAGGCCAGAGTCTGATTTTAAAGCAGGACGTGACTCAGACAAGAAGTCGCAGCCTGCCAGCACGCTTGCCCCTTGGTCTAGCTTGTCACCCCGGCCTGTACAGACACACATGCATACACCTGGGTGCAAAAACAGTGGGAAAAGATGCAGTGGGAACGATTGTGCTACCACTCAGTAATGGTCACAACACGGAGGTGTTATTATTCTTCCACCTTTTCTTATCATTATAGTCACAGGCTGTATGATACTGATAATGTTATCACACTCTCCTGTTCCTGTTTTGGAACGTTGTATGGTCGAAGCTCATGTCACACTCCCTAGGTCTCCACCCGAGGAAGCCTGGAGCACCTCGTCCTTGGGGAGGGCTGGGCATGCCCTGGGAGGCAGGACTCTGCTGGGCCAATGTCCTACCTGTGTCTCTGGGCTGCCAAGGAGGGCACAGCCCCTGGAGGGGGCAGAGGGGTGCTGGGCAGTGGCCTTGGGCCAGCCCTCTGCTGTGACCCCAGGCGGGCTGGGTCCCGTCCCTGACGAGCAAGGTCCTGGAGGGTGAGATGCAGCCCCATCCCTCTCCCTCCGGAAGAGCAAGTTCTGGACCTTTGGTCTCCCCAGGGTGCCCCAGGAGTCTGGGGTTCTGAACCCCAGTCTCATGAAGCCCTGGTGATGGCAGAATTGATGAGGGCACAGCCTCAGCCATCCCTGCGGCATGCTGGTCTGCCCCACGGGGGCAGAACAAATCAGTGGGGCACCTGCCCACCCGGCCCAGGCAGTGCTGACCTCCGGCTCACCTCTCCAAAGCAGGAAGGTCTGCCTGACCTGCCAGGGCAATCCCGCGGGGAACCGAGCCAGGGCCCCAGCTCAGCGCTGAGGCCTTCTGCCCTGCAGCCCTGGGGAGGGTCCCGGCCCCCCAGCCGGAACCCAGAAGGGCCGCGCCGGCGCACCATCCCCGCCAGTCCCGAGCACCTGGCCCTCCCCTCGGGATAAGCCTGAGCGCCTGTGACCTCCTGCGGGCACCGCCCCCCCCCGCCCCCCCGGAGCCCCCGACTATGGGGCAGAAGGAACCGCTCCCCTTAACTACACACCCCGCACGCCCCGCAGGCCCCTCCCCAGCGGCCCGGAGTAACTCTTGAGGTGGCGTCTCAAGAGGCGAAGCGCGAGAAGCCTCGGGGTTAGGGTTAGGGTTAGGGTGCCCAGCGGCCGTGCCCACCGTCCCAATTCGGGGGCCTTCAGGGAGGGGTGGTGGGGCTGAGGGGGGCACTGAGGGAACAAACATCTGGGGCTCGCTCGAAGGCACGGACGGGGGTCGGGGGGACGGAGCGCGAGGGCCGGGAAGGACCAACGAGGAGAAGGTGGCCCGGGGCGGGCCGCGGCCGTCCGCGTCCAGCTCCCCGGGGCCCGGGCGCACAGACACCTCGGGTAGAGGGTTGCGTGGGCGGTGGGGGGAGGCGCCCAGGAAGCCGCAAACCCCCCCCCCCCCCCCCCCGCCGCGGCCGGGCGTCTACCACGCCCCAAGCCCCACCCGCTGGGGGCTGCACCCCCAGTCCCACTTCCAGGGACGAAGACCCAGGGGGGCGCCGGCCACAGGCGCGCAGGGCGGGCGCGCGCCCACGCCGGGGAGGCGCAGCCGGCGACGCCCCGGGAGCCACGCGCCCGGCGTCTGCGCCCCGGCCGGGACGGCTGTGGGGCGCGCCCGCTGCTCCTCCCTTCGGGCCGCGTAGCCGGGGCCCCACCCCTCCCCGCCCCCCGCGGCGCGCGCCGCGCGTGCGGGCGGCTGGCGGCGCCGGGGCTCCGGGGCGGGCGGGGGCTGGGGGGCGAGCGCGGGGGCCCGCGGGGGTCGCACGGGCCCGGCGGCAGCTCCCGGAGGCCGTGGCACCGGGGCGCGCACCTGAGACGCGCGTCTGGGCGGGCGCGCGGGGCACCTGCTGGGGCGGGGACGCCCACCGAGGACTCGCGGCCGCGCCCGGGCGAGGCGAGGGCGCACGGGGCCCGCGAGCCGCACCCCGGGGCGGGTGGGGGGCGCGCTCTCGATTGGACTCTGCGGATTGTGCGCGCCAGGGGGAGGGAGAAGCGCGGCCGGCGGGCGGGGGAGGGCGTGAGAAAGGAGGTGCCGGCGCCGAGGAGGGTGAGCGATACTTTTAAACCCGGCCGCCCGCGCCGCCGGGGAGACAGCACGCGCGGCACACGAGCGCCCCACGCTCCCCGCGCCCGCCTCCCGGCCTCCGCGCCTCGCCGTCCCGGCCGGACGAGCAGGGAGTGCGCCCGGGGGTCGCTGGGCGCGCGGTGCCAGCAGCCCGGGGGCGCCGTCCCCGCTCCGCTGCCGACCCTCGGCCGCTCCCTCCCGCCGCGCAGCTCGGGGGCTCGCAGGAGGCGCCGCGCGAGTGGATGCGAGCGCGATGGACCCCCGCGCGCCGCCCCGGGCCCCCGCGCACGGCGTCCCCGGCGGCTGCTCCCTGCGGCGGCGCCCCGCGTCCCCCGAGCTGCTGCGCTGCAGCCGGCGGCGGCGGCCGGGCGCGGCGGGCCCCGGGGGCGGCGCGGCGGCCGTGGCGCGGCGCAACGAGCGCGAGCGCAACCGCGTCAAGCTGGTGAACTTGGGGTTCCAGGCGCTGCGGCAGCACGTGCCGCTCGGCGGCGCCAGCAAGAAGCTGAGCAAGGTGGAGACGCTGCGCTCGGCGGTGGAGTACATCCGCGCGCTGCAGCGCCTGCTGGCCGAGCACGACGCCCTGCGCGCCGCGCTGGCCGGGGGGCTGCTGGCGCCCGCCGCGAGGGCCCCCGCGCCCCGCCGGCCGCCCCGCGCGCCCGCCGCGCCCCCGGCGCCCCGGCGTCCCCGGGCCGCGGCGCCAGCTCGGAGCCCGGCTCCCCGCGCTCCGCCTGCTCCCTGGACGGCAGCGGCGGCGAGGGCGCGCTGAGCCCCGCGGCGCGCGAGCTGCTCGACCTCTCCGCCTGGCTGGGGGGCTGCTGAGCCCCGCCCAGGTAACGGCCGGCGCGGGGGGCCGAGCGGGGGGTGCGGGGCGGGGGGGCCGGGCGCGCGCTGGCGGCTCCCCGACCTCGTCGCGCCCGAGCGGGACCCGCCCTGCCGGCGGGGTCGCGGGGCTCCCGCTCGCGGCGCGGCGCCCGGCGGGGGGCTGGGGGGGCCGGGGGCGGGCGGGGGGCGCCGGGGCGGGGGACACTTTGCCTTGCAAATCGCGCCGGGCGGGGCGGCGGCGAGAGCCGCGGGGCGCGGAGCCCTGACTCACCGCGCCGGCCGCGCCCCGCCCCGCCCCGCGCCTCGGGCCGAACCCGGGGCGCCCGCGGACTCGCGTCTCCCCGCCAGCGAGGCCGCTGCGGCGGGGGGCGCGGGGCGGCCCCACTCACCGGCGCTGTCCGCTCCCTCCCGCAGCTCGACGCGCGCCGCCCGCGCCGGACCGACCCCAGGAGCCGCCCGCAGCCTCCGGAGACCCCGCGCCGCTGGACCCCGCGGGCCCCGAGGCTGCCCGATGCCGCGCCCGGGGCGCCCGCGGACTGGACCTCCGAGGACGGCCGGCCCCCAAGGCCTGGCCCGGCGCCCGCGGCGAGGACGCGCTTTGTACAGACTCCGGCCTGGAAGCCAATAAAGACGGGCCGCCCGCGCCCCACTGGAATGCCCCCGCCTGGCCAAGCTCCGAGTGGGCAGGGATGGGGGGCTGAGAATAAACCCGCGGGCCGCAGCCCTCGGGGGGTGAGGGCTGGGCAGTGCCCGGAGGGCGCTGGCCTCCGGCTCCCCTCCCGGGACTCGTCCTCCCGCTGCTCTGCAGCTGCGGGGCTGGGGTCCACCGAGCCGGGGCCCCTGCACCGGGGCGGCTCGGGCACCGCTGGGGCTGGGCTGCCTTCGGGAAGCCCTGCGGGGCCTGCGGGCAGTGCGGGTGTGCAGCGGGGCCCAGCTGGCCCCTTCTGGGGCGCAGCCGCCCCGCCTCAGGGCTGGGACCCAGTTCTGAGCTCCACGGCCGCCCAGCGCTGGCCCCATGCCAGCTGCCCACTTGCCAAGGGGGACACACGGAGAGGGGCCTGCAGACCCGTGGGGGGTGTGAGGAGAGGGGTCAGCAGCGCCGTGGCCCAGCTCACTGCCCCCCAACTTCAGGGGCTGCAGGACCCACCTGGGCAGCGGGAGGCTCGAGGGGGGGCAGCAGCTTCCTGGGGACCCGCCCCCAGCCCAGAGGGCCCTGGAGACGGCGGCGCAGCCCTACCTTGGGCGGCGGCAGCTTTGAAGTCAGACTGAGCACGAAGCTCTTTTATTGCTGGGTGGGAGCAGGGCTGCAGGGGTCCCCCAGGCTGCTTTAGGGCGCTGAAGGCCCCCCTTCGGCAGGGCGTGGCCGGAGCCGTTGGAACTGGGGTGGAGCGCCCAGCTCCCGGGTAGCCCTGGGCCCGTGAGGGGCTGCCCGGCGGGGTTACTTTGGTGCCTGGGGCTTCGGCCCAAGTGGAGCTGCTGCTCTGAGGGACGGGAGGGGGCACGGGGGGCAGGTGGCATGGCTGCCAGTGAGGCCCAGGCACCGTCAGTGACCTGCGGGCCACAGGGCCCGCTCTCCTCTGGACTCCACTGCACCCCAGGGTGCGGGCAGGGTGGCTGGGGCATGGAGAATGACAAGGCCTGCACTGGGCGCCCTCTCTGTGCCAGAGGGGCACGGGTGTGCCAACGGGGCAGCAGCCTGGTGCGTGCTGGCCGAGGAGGGACGCACTGCCCCTCCCCCGGGAAGCAGCGGGCCCTCGGCCCCACGTGAGGCCTCTCGGCCATGTCCCTAAAGCGGGGGCCCCGGGCTGACCTCACGGGGTGGCCTGTCCTGCGGACTAGACTGAGGAGAGGCCCGGCCTCCATCACAGCCGCGGGCAGGGCAGCCCGGCCCTGCACCCCACCGGGCCCTCGCGGCCACTCTGATTTAGGGTCAGGGGAGGGGCCTTTGCAGCCGCCTGCCGCTCTGTCTCTGGAGGCCCAAGGGTCCCCAGGCGCGGGGCGGAGGAGACGAACATGCTGCCCCCTGCCCGGGCCTGGCATTTCCAGGGCCGGGCCGTGGAACTGGTCACCCTCCTGCAAAGCTGGAGGGACCTCAGGAAAACGGCGCCAGCACACGCTGCGGACGAGGCCCGCGCCTCCCCGGCCTGCATCTTCACTGACGTGCCGAGCGCGCCAATTGTTGCCAGCCAGGAAGAGAGAGAGCTCCTGGCAGCCGCGGCACCCCTCGGGGAGAGTGGGGACCCCATCTCCAGGGGCCTGCCCCACGGCGGGGCCTCGCCCTCTGCCGGCCACGGGCAGCTTTCACCCCTGACCGGCACGCTCTGCCTCTCCCAGGACCCTCAGCCCGGGGCGCTGCCCAGCGCTGCCCGGGGAGCCGGGCACAGGGGCCGTGGGGGTGGAGTCGGCTGGCGCCCAGCGTGTCCCCACTGCACCCCAGAGAGGTGCCTCTTTCCCTAATAAACCTGCCCTTTAAAATGCTGCCAGGCCCGCCCCCACGGGTGCCGAGGCCGGGACGGGGGTGCCCAGCCGGGCCCTGCGTCTGGAGCCCTTACGCCGCGGTCCGCACAGTGTCCCTGTCCCGGGCTGCGTGCAGGGCAGGGCAGGGGGACAGGCCCTCCCCGTGGCCTCAGGGCCGCCCCTCTGTGCGTGTCCGTATGCGTGTCTTAGAGGGACACGGTCCTGGGGGCCAGGGGCCACCCCGTGACCCCACTTGACCTCTGTGAGGTGGGCGGGCCCCAGACTCAGTGGCAGCTGGGGCGCAGGGGTGAGGACGCCCGCATGCGCCGGGCACAGTCCGGCGGCCCCATCACACGTGGGGTGAGGAGCTCCGGGCTGGCTCTCCCCGCGGGACCGTCACCCCGCCAGTCTGCTCGGAGAGCTCCGCCCTCCCCACCCACAGAGCCCCGCGTGGGGCCTGGGCTCAGGGACGGCCCAGGCCCAGCCCCTCCTGTCCGGCAGCGGGGCCCACCCTGGGCCGTGGCCTAACCCGAGCCCCTGCGGCCCGCCTGGCCCCCACCTGGCCGCGGCTGCTGCTGCTGCTGCTGCGGTGATAAACATGCAAATCTCTGCACGCGCCCAATTACTACGCAAATGAGGCCACGGCAGCAGGCTGCCCGGCTGCCCCATGCCCCAGCTTCCTCTCCCGCAGGTATTTGTCTCTCATTTGGATGCTTTTTGTGGGCAGGCGGCGGGCGCTTGAGACGGGTCTCCACGACGGCTCAGCCGCCTGCACCCATCCACGTGCAGCCCAGACCCCAAGGCCTCCGGTCAGCCCGGGCAGCCGGGCAGGGACCAGGGCCAGCCTCCTCCAGTGCCCTGGCCTGCACACCACCCTGGGACTCAGGTGCCCTGGAGACCCGGGAGGACACCTGGAAGCGGGCGGGGCTGCAGTTGGTGCCAGAACCTGAGGGCGGAGTGGATGTGAGCTCCCGAGGGGTGCGGAGGGCAGGGAGCCCTGCACCCACTGGGGGACCCCTGGGCTCCTCGGCCCTGCTGCCAGGTGGGCTGACCCAGCCCCCACCTGCCTCCCCGCCTGCTCTGGACCAGGGAGCAGAGGGGCTGGTCCCGGGAGGAGCCGGTCCTTGGGACGGAGCTGGGAGTGCTGGGCCCCAGCCGCCCCGCCCGGCCCAGCCCCGGCCCCAGGACCCCCAGGCCCCCCGCCCGCTGGGCCCTTGGCTCCTGGGGCGGGGTCAGCTGGGTGCATTTCACCCAAGCACGAGCACCGGGTGGCCTGCCAGGAACGTCACGTGCTCTCCAGCCTCCGCCCACGTCAGCGGGCAGTGTCCGCCGGCGGGCGTCCTGAGACCCCTGCCCGTCCCTGCCCTCCACCGCCGTCGGGTCAGCGCAAGAGCTTCTGGGCAGCCGCCCGCCCATCACACCCTGGCCGGCTTCATCCTCATCCTGTGTCCCAGCCCGGGCCCGGAAATCCTGAGCCGAGTGTCCGTGTGGGGCCCAGGAGGAGGGGCGGGCCTGCGGGCACAGGGGCACAGGGGCCCCGCCGCTGAGTAGAAGGGGAAAGCCTGGGCTTGCCCTCTGGCCGCAGAGCCGGGCAGGTGCGCACATGCTGGCCCCGTGCTGGGCTCCCGGTGTCCCCCGGGTGCTGGGCCCCGGGCTCCCGAGGGGCCTCCGGGCCTGCGGCAGTGCCCTGCGGACTCCTGCAGCCGCGGGGCTGAGGCACTGACCACAGCGGTGCTGGTTTACATGGCAGGGAGGATGCGGCGCCTGCCTGGGGGCCCAGCCAGGAGGCCTCAGTGCTGAGGAAGCTGCAACGGGGCGCGGGTGAGAGTCCCGGGACCCTCCTCTCGAATATCTGGGAGCCCTTGAGAGCGCTGGGGGGGACCGACCACGGGGTCAAAGTGCAACCAAGGGGCAGCCCAGATCCCTGTGCCCAGGGTGAGCAGCGAGGGCTTCCCGGAGGGGGGATGGGCGGCCCCCTCGGCCTGACCGGGAGGAGGGCAGCAGCAGACCCTCCCCCACACCGCTCCCCTCCCCTCGCCAGCTCCCCCGGGATGGCCGGGCAGTGCACGTGCAGTCCCAACCTGTTCTGGGCAGGCGCCTGCCACTGCCTGGGGCGCCTGCTCTCGCCCCACTTCACCTGCAGGCCCCGCCCGCCCCGCCCCCCGCGGGCCCGGTTCAGAGGAGACGGGACCCACCCCACCCCACCCTCAAGGAGCACACGTGCACACACAGGCAGACATGGGCGTGCCCGGCGCACATGCACACACACACACACACACACAGGCCAGCTGGACCTTGCTGGGCAGGGCCAGGGAGCCGGTGCCACCTCGGTGCCCTCCACCGGGGACAAGAAGCCCCTGGGCACAGGCCGGCCCGGCGTCTCTGGGGTGAGGACCCGCTGCCCCCACCCGCAGGCCTGCTGCCGCTTCGCCCCTCAGGCCTCGGCCTTGAGTGGATGCTGCCCTAAGGCACCCACCTGCCCACCGGCTGCTTCCTCACCTTGAGTCCCGGGCTCCCGCGGATCCCGGCGCAGGCGCCGT